GAATCTAGCGTTTTTTCGCTACCTGTACCCTGTACCCTGTACGCAAAGATTTGTTAACACGATAACTTTCAAACAAGAAAAGTAATTCAAAATCTGACTTCACAGGATGATTGGGGGTGCCGAGGAATAGAAACCATTAAATTTTGAGCGACTTTGGTTGACAGAGTGAAGTGTCATGTCTGGTGTGATGCCCATGTCCATCCATGGGAAAAATTCAATTTTTCTTCCAAAAGTGATATTTAATGTATTCTTAAACAGACAAAAATATGTATTGGGGGGTTTTTGGGTACGAGAAAACCAAATATGACGTTAGTTTTGCGATACAATCAACTTTCGGCACACTTTTCATACAAAAATTTCAAAAAATTTGGATTTTTGTATGGAAGCCATGACTGTATGATATTGTAATGAGCTGAAACTTTGCACAGGTTATTACTTTTCCGCACACACCTAGTGTGAAAGGGGAAAGTATTGCAATAGGTCAAAATTTACGAAACTTCAAAAACAGGTTTCTGGACGTTTCTGAGGTCAGAGAACCCGAATCAGGCCGTTTTGAGCATGGTTGTTGTGGGTCTGTTCCACGTCGTACGTCGTACGTTGTCCGCCATACGCAAAATTTGTCCATCGATTATCTCACCCCCCAGAAAAGTTATTTAAAATCTGACTGTACAGGATGATTGGGGGTTCCGAGGAATAGAAATCATTAGATTTTGAGCGATTTTGGTTGATGGAAAAAAAATTCATGCCTGGAGCGATACCTATGAAAAAGAGTCCAATTTTCGTCCAAAAGTCATACTTAATGTAGACTTAAACACTCAAAAATATGTATTGGGAGGTTTTTTGGCACGAGAAAACCGAATCCGAGGTTAGTTTTGAGATACAATCAATTTTTGATACAGTTTCTTTGAAAAAATCACAAAAAAATTGCATTTTTGTATGGGAGCCATGCCTGTATGCTACCTTAATGACGCGAAACTTTGCACAGACTATTTTTTACACAAAAAAAAAATGACATTCCAAAAGTTTGAAAAGATTTCAATTAAAATTAGGGGTACCTTCCATACATAATGTTCAATTTTTGGTTCAAAAATGAATATTTTGTATGGGAGGTACCCTTCATTTTGGTTGAAATTTCCTCCAAACCCTCCGAATGTTATATTTTTGTTAAAAGAATAACCTGTACAAAGTTTCACCGCATTAATGTAGCATACATAAAAGTGTTTCAAAAATAATTTTTATGGCAAAATTAACGTCAGACATATTTTTTTATAGTGTTTTGTTAGAAAATAGGATACTTTCAAATGTCGTACAAATGGGTTCATCATGAAAGTGTGAAAAATCTTTTCTCGAGTACTTCTGTTATTAAATTAAAGAATATTTCGATGCCAAAGTTGAAACATATTTTTTGGTCTCGAACTTTACGCCGCTTGAAAGGCTTGAAAAATCGAACGAATATTATTTTGAACTTGCTTAATAAAATACGCAAATACCACCGTGCGGAAAAGTTCGTCTTACTCCCGTAAGACTCTTTATTTTTATCACACAAAAATGCCATACCGAGAGTTTGAAGACATTTCAACGCATATTAGGGGTACCTCCCAAACAAAGTTTTGGATTTTTCGCTCAAAAACGAAATTTTGTATGGGAAGTACCCTTAATATGCATTGAAATTCCTTAAAACTTTCAGAATGTTAACTTTTTGTGAAAAAAATAACCTCTGCAAATTTTCACATGATTACGATATCATATAGGCATGGCTCCGATACAAATATTCCCATCTTCAGTAGTTTTTGTATGAAAAGTGCTTCGAAAATTATTTTTATCTAAAACTAATGTCAGATTCAGTTTTCTCTAGAATCTTTGAGTAAAAGATTTGTAATAAATGCATGTTGTGGATCACAGTGCGGAAAAGTTCATCTTACGGACGTAAGAAATTTTATTTGTTCTATCATTTGCACAAATTCTTGTGTGCAATATTTCATTTAGTTTATTAGCTCCTCTTTTTCCATTCTCGTCACAATGATTCTTATTTAGTTCAGATGAATAACATTGCATTCTCCTTTTTTTCATTTTATTTTAAATATCATTATGCAAATACTCAACAAATATTTGCATAAATTGTTAATAGTAAATTTAATTTTGTTTTATTACTTAAACTTCTCTCTCTTCTTCTTCTTCTTCTTCTTGTTTTTCATGACAAGAGGATTTAAAAATTTTACTGTAGTAATTTTTTGAAACCATTTAAATTATGACTCGTTTTTCTTGCGGACTTTTCGTTTGATGGATATGGTTTCGAGCATCGTTATTACTGTTTATTCGCAAGAGATGATACTTTTGACTTTATGAAATTGTAGCGGAGAAACATGCGGTGTTGGGTGAGCAGAGTGTGTTATTTGAAGATGCGATCTGAACTCGTCGCTGATCCATAGATTGTTGTCATTTGGAATCGATCTGTGCTCTAAAATGATACACACACGCACTCATAATCAGACAAATTCCAATTCACTATGTACGACCAAGTCGACATTGCGTCGTGACATGACGCATACACTTCAATCAAATTCATTATTCTTCATAAAAACTTGGCTTAGCGTGCAACAAATCGGCTATGACTTAAGCCATTTTGCATCGTCATTTTCCACTTCAATCGATGGAATGTATGCACTTCAGCAAATGTACATCGCTTATCATCATGTAAACGTTAGAATATATTACGAGAGTGGATTGCGATAACAGTTTCATCAAATTGACGCAAGCGTTCAATCGATTTAAATAAAAATCATACATTTGTTTTTTAATTTCGAATTTTATTTATCAATTTGGGTTTTTTACAAAGAGTTCCAAATATCATCAACATCAGGTTTCTGTGTCATCGTCTACGATGTTGCTGTCTGCGATGTCGTTTGCAATGCTGGCATATCTCCTTTGAGAAAGAACACATAGAATGCAAGCAAAAACATCAAGCCGTACCAATATTTACGTAATGTATATTTACAATTCAAATGATACTAAAGTGTTATATTGTACATATCAACATTTTGCTGACACCAAAATGTTGTTTAAAAATACGATTAATGTGGACACCGAACTGCGAAATACTGTATCATATAGTGCGATTCACTATATTGTCTTTGCTACAAATAAAGTGGAACACAATAAATAAAAAATTAAAACAAATTGGTCATTTCCATTTCATACTATCATTACTGTTGCTCTAGAGATTAAGCTCAATTTTCATTTAATTCACTGTTCGATTGCCATTATTTAGATTACTTCAACGATAAATGCCTTCAATAAGACTATAGTCAGCTTCAGTAGATTGGCAGTTGAAGTTGTATTTTGAAACTGTTTGGACGTGTGACGAGAAGAATGAAGCTGCTTTTGATTGTTGCATTTATCTACGTTTACTTTGAATATGTTAGTTTAGAGCATAAACAAGAAGAAATGAAGTTAGACGAACAAATACAAAATCTACAAACGGACGTGAAATGTATACGACAATATTTAAAAGAGGTTTGCTTCGAATTAAACTCGATTCGAATTAAATATTCATGGAGCATTTACAAGTATTAATTTTTGATTACATAAATTTTGGTTTTTATTCTGAACAGATGTATTTAAAGTCACTTCCTGAAAACGGTAGATCGATCAAAGAGATATATTTATCGTCTAAAGCAAAGGATACACTGAACGCAAAACGATACATTTCTTATGAGGATTTCGTACTTGCGAGAGCATTTAAAAGAAATATGTCCACAGGAGATATCATGGGTCTTAGTTCACAAGTAGTAGAAGATTACGTGTACATTTTCAAATTATTTGATGACAACGCAACCAGACGGATTACTTCTTTCGTAATGATGATTTCATCAAAATGTAAATTTTCTGTCTAATTTATGTTTATTATTTCAGCTATTTTCGAAATTGCGCAGTTGGAATACTAGAAATATTGTATTGAATGTGACGTACGTGGAACAAAAAATGAATGAAACTCAAATTGAACGAGGCCAATTGCCGTACAGTTTCGATCGTGATGAATATAATGAATGTCTTGAGTTATTTGCAGAGGATCTATCCAAGAAAGTGGCATCGGACACTATTTCTCGAGTGATGACTCTACAACGTATATTGTATGGAAATCGAACGGAAATTGAAAATGCTTTGGTAAGCATTTGAATCGAATGAGAATTATGGTAAAAAATATCCTTCAGAAATTCCATAGAATGCTTTTTTTAAATATAATTCCAGTCTTATCTGTATGGCTCTGCTTCAGCCATAGACTCTACAACCAATGCAACCAGCTAGCTAAATCATTACCAATGACGATTTTCATGTTGGACAATTTCATTAAAAGTTTACATAATGCAGTTTTCAACTTTTACAGCTAATTTATTCGGTCTTTCTATCATTCTTTGTTATTTATTGGTATTCTTTTAATAATTGTTCCACATTGGCATCAATATGACAAAGTTGAATTTATTTCGTTGATGGTTTCTTCACACCTCCCGATGTCAATGTTTTAAAATAATTGTCATTTGAATACTCGTCGATCCAAATGGGATAAAATAAAAGATTGTCTGTTCCCGTGGTTTCAATAAAGTTGGAATGGATCAAAAAATCGTCAATTTTTTTCTTTGGATAAACATAGCGTATGACCCCTTCAACATCTTTCATATCAATTGTGATGCTTGCATTCTTGTTTAATCGTGATGATCGGTACACATCATTGATTTCAATCCATTGCTCTTGGGATGTTAAAACTTGTGAAGTGTATACCGCATTTTTTCCCTGCGAATCGATAAAAAACCGTACATGTACATTATCCACAGTTATGTAAGCTGCTTGTACTTCGATGATAAGCCAGCCGTATCCTGTGAAGCAAAAAATTATTTGAGTGGCCTTTTAGCATACATTTTTTAATATACAATGTACATGCGGTTAGCTAATTTAAATTAAATTAATTTACCTGTTGGAAAACCCCTGGAATTTGAACAAGTTTTGTCGAGCATTTTGAAAGATTTACCAAATACGGATTCCATTCGATATTTTACAAGCGAAAAATAGTCATAAACACATGAAGCGTCGCCAGTATACGCTGTTATTTTATTTCCTTTGACGTATTCCAAGTTATCGCGTATCGTAAATATGTCATCATCACTACTCCTTCGGCATTTAATATTGCTATCATATGATCCACTGACATTTCGATTCAACTTATTGCGCAATGCAGATGATGCCACTATATTGAATATTAATTCACCTTGTAACTTCCATCTTGATGTCACTTCGATCCTTCGAAAACGATGTAATAAGCTCAACTGATAGTAGTCATCGAAAAGATCTCTCAGACGACAATTCATTTCAGTTCCCCATTCGAGATATGGCAATGTTCTAGCTATCATCGTTGCCATTGGAGCTATGGCTAACATCAATTGGGCCGTAGCGGATGGAAAGTTTCTATACGGTAGATTTCGAGACGCAAAGTGTAAAACAATGGTGTGTAGATCGTTGTGGGCGTACTTCAACACCGAACATATCGTGGCAGGATATTCGGACACTTTTTTAAGTGAGAATAACACTTTGGAAATTGTGATTCCCTTTTCAACAATTCCGTTGTGAACTTCATTTCGTCTTTCGAATGTATCGATGATTTTTCCCAACGATTCCTTATTTTCAAACTCTTCCTTCAACGTATCGAAAAAGACTGGTATAATGGCCCCGGAAAATGCTTCATAGTCAGCCGCACACGATATTATGGCTGACGGTAGCTTCACACTGAAATCTATGAGTGGATTACCTGCAAGGTTGGTTGTCCTTTCTAACGCACTTGATATTTCACCTTCAAAGTCCTCATTTATATACATTGAGTCTAGAACAGCACAATGGATATCTGAACTCGAAATTACAGCACTTGTTCTTTGTTTGAAATACCCAAAACTCAACAGTGTCATTAATGTTAATTTGAAAATCGACATTTTAGCAAATTAAGAAAACCAGATGAGATGAACTAGTAATTCCGTCGAAATATTTTGCGTGAAGTGACAACGAAAATACAATGGAATGCTCGATCAGTATTGAAATGAATTGTCGTTCAAATGACCAAAAATTTCATGGAACTAGCGATAATTTTCGTCATATCGCCAAATGAATATTCTTATTGGAGTAAAATTACTATTGAAATAGGGTGACTATTGAAATTCTATTGACATTTTCAATGCTTTGATTTATTAAAAAAAAAGTAGAAGCATTCAATTTGAAGTTCCACGATTACGTGCGAAACAGGAATTTTCATAACAAAACTCTTTTAAGTTACTGCAACCAAACATAGACCATAATTTCAGTTTATTCCCAAGATTTCGGTTACATACGGAAAAGTTATCTTGCGAACGTAAGCCCCTTTTTTGGAAAAGGGAATTATTGTTCAAATCATCAATTAGATCAATATTTAAAATCTATCAATTACATATTTAGTCTTACATACAATGGAATATTACATTTTTCTCTAAAATATTGAATACGAGATCATATCATTTCTATTCTACGAGAATAATCATTTTTCTATATTCCATCTATTGATAATCATTGTTCGATTAATTCTTTTTGTGAAATTTCTACAAAAATGTAATAAAAGGATTTTTTTCGTTTACCAAAGTTATCTTTATTCTGTTATATCACGTGAAATAATCGAAAGAATCAAAATTCGATTGCAACAAAAAAATTAATCAATATTTAGTGAGTATAAAATTAGTGAGGTGCTGCTGATTACTGCTTTAGTATGGACAGCTACAATTGAATGCTGCAGAGAGTGATGCCACTGAAAATAGAGAAAAGAATTGATTTTAAGAATTTTAAAATAACAATGTTAGCATAAAATTTGAAAAAAAATTTCATTCAAAAATAACTGAAATGTAATTTCAATCAAACTCACATGTAGTTTGTTCTTCCTTGTAAACCACTCTTGTGAGCACTTCAGCGATGAGACAATGGCAGTCGATGTATGTTGCTTCAATGATATCAACTTGTTGGACAGTTGCACTGACATCAAATTGATTTTCGCCATCGATAAAATCACCGTGTGAATTCACATTTTCCAAGTTATTCCATTCATCGCGCAACACCACGACCAATTTCAACAGTTGTTCTAAACTCTTCCGAAGAGCGGAATCACTCGTTTTTCGAAAACAATGTTGATAAATTGTATCGATATAAGAATCATGTAAATCGATTATTTCTCGTATGCACTCAACTTTGGCCATTCGTTTAACCAATTGTTGGCCCATCGACTGAATGACAAAGGTCATCAAATGTGAATGAATGCATTGTACAGAGTACATGATCCAATTTCGTACCAATGCCAATCGCTTAAATATCAAATCGATTAACGTTAATTCTTGATATGGTGGACGCTTTTTGAATGCAACGGGAAATTTCATCGTCTCCAACGTCCAAATTGCCCATTTAATTTGTAATAAGAAACGAAATATTTCATTGTATTTGGTTAAAGCACGATCATGAATTACATCACGCACTGAATCCCGAACCAAATAATTTATGGTTATATCAGCAATGGCACTCAAGGTCTCTTTGATATGACTATCGGTTGCCGTTATTTGTACACTAAACATCGAATGGATTTCGGGATAGCGACTACTTAACACATCATCCAATCGCACCGTTAACAAATACGAATTGTTCCAATCTTCACCGGCATTCATCTGTAATCAATTCAAATAATTATTTGTTATTGTTGTTAATTTTAAGTTGCTCGAAGCAAACTGCTGGCGGAAATTCGGGTAGAACATTGTAGATACTTACACTTTTGAATAATTTTGAGTAAAAAGTCAACATTAAATCGCCTGCGCCGAAGAAAAACACTCGCTGTAAATTGATGAGGTGATCGAGGACCTTGTATTCGTCGAGGAAAATACGTAGTACATACTTATTTGCTATGGAAATTCGGGAACGGAAAATTTGTTTTAGGCAACCATGAATGATGACACTCAATGGCATTGGGAAATCGGTGATTTTGCTTATTCTGAAAAATAACAAGTTGAACGAATATTAAAATGTTGCGAAAATGCGGTATTTAGAAAAAGGTGGTAGATCATGTGGGGCGCTAGAGGAAAATCTGTATCTTGGAACATTCCATAGATGGTCCATGATAGACCATGCATACGATAGAATGATGAAAGGTATCGTTCCACGTCGCCAACCGATTCCTTTTGATCGATAACGCTCCCTTTGAAAATTAAAAAAAAAAGTTGAAGAACCTTCCAGTTGTGCAATCAAACCCTACCAAAGAACACTTTCAAAACGTTTCTTTTGACATATATGGCTCCACGTGTTATTTTATCGCATTCTTAACAATCCCTTGTAACTTTCCAAATTTGTTTTTGTGAGTCGTGCTTTCTTCAGGGCTTTTAAGAGTGGAAGAAATTCAACCACTGGACCTTCGATTAAAATCCCCAAAGAAAGTGGCTCCAACAAAATTGTTTTCTTCAAGAAACACTCTCGTATCGTAATTTTCATGTCCTTACTTACTTTTCATACAATTTGTAGCAATTATTCGGCTCTTCATTGATGTCAACCGCACTCTCATGCTGTGTTGTGGTGTTTGCAGCGTATTGTTCAAAGGCCATCGAAAGTAGTGCATCCATATCGCCCAGTAGTTCGGTTGACAATAAACTATTACCCTCTGTCTCGTCCAATGTCATCGAAATAGAAGCAGCCGAATCAATTTGTTCCGTCACCTCTTCCCCTTGTGTGTCAATTCCATCACTCTCATTACCTTCTTCAATGTGAAATTTGTTAACCTCCTCCCAAAAATTGTTCATGAATACTTCTTCAATGTCTTGTGTTTCTTGATTTACTTGTTGCCCTTTCATTTCGGACAACTTATTTAAATTATACAAAATATTCAGAATATATCCAGCCTCCAATGATTCTTCACAGAATAAACTAACGATTTCACAGGTAACGATGCGATTTTTAATAGCTGCCGCATCCAAGGAACGTGAGATACCAGCTGAGATTGAACGACGCTGGTATATATTTGACGATGAATACGGCAATCGATTTTTACTACTGGGAATCGAAAAAAAAAACACGTCGGGGTTTACTACGGAAAATATTTGTTAAAGAATTCAAATTTCGTTACAGTTTCTGAAGTTTATAAAACAAGTGGTGGTGTGGAGAGATTAAGGGAGTCTTAATTTTTGATTGAAAATTAATCCACACATTAGAGGATGGTGTTTAGTCACCACCAGAGCCAATCTCAAATTAAGGGGACGTTGAGTAGTTGATGAACGACACATGGTTCCGGATGGACAAAAGTTTTGTCACTAAATCATAACATTAAACATTGTCATAAGAAGGATGCTGTTCGTTCAAGATCTCATGATCGCCAATCACTTAATGACTCATCCACTGAGTATGCAGTTGAAGGGACTTCAGCCAACTCGAATTCGACCACTCTTAAGACACCATTTTTTATGCCTCAGAAACTATGCACTTCAAAATAGGAAAAATCATAAAAGTGTACAAATTCAAATATTTACCATTTTTGAATCAAAAATTCGCTGCACCAATCTTTGAATTGTCCTTCAATCCACCAGCGATTGAAGACGTGCAAATAAAATCGAATGCTAATCAAAAACAAACTAGCGGCAATGTTCAATCGTTCAACAGCTGATGTTGTGTCCATCTCATGAATAAGTCCAGCAAACAGATGTGTGGCACAAACATGACCTAATTTTTTTTAAAAAAGCACGGTTTTCATCATTAAATCCAAAATCAGAAATAAAAAAAGCGGATTTCTTTTTTTAATCCCCAAAACTTACATACCTTCGTTGATCTTAAAATCAATATAAACCTTCATGTGAATATCGTACAATATATGAACCTTGCGAAAGTGTAACAAAAGTTGATTGTGCAAATAGATGATGGTATGTGTTTCGGTGAGATCTTGTTCGATAAGTTGCGCCTCCAAATCGAAAATTGCCTCATTCACAATGCGAAGAAAGTCCTTCAGTCCAGTTGCATAATTCTGTATTGTATGCGGTGCAGTTTGTGCTGATTCCAAAAAGCTATTCACCACCGGTGGTTCGAAAACGATTTTGAAAAACTTTCGAAATCGATACAATTTCGTCGAAACTAAAGCAAATGTGGTTAAAATTTGCTGAAGACCATCAACCGATGTACTGTTCAGCGTAACATTTGTGTTCACACTAAATTCATCGGTGGTTGTGTCCAAAGTAAAAAATTTCGAGAATTTTTTCAGACGTTCCACATCAATGTCATCTAACGGTTGCATTTGAAGCATCCAAATTATCTCACGTTGCAAACACCATTCAGATAAAACAGACGTACTATTAGCCGGTGCTTCCGATTGCCACCATGGATTTTGAACGTTTTTAATTCGCCATGCTTCCGATTTAGACGCATCGAATTCAGTAAAAATTGACCTTTTTTCCGGCGGACGTAAGATATCCCTTGCAAATGGTTGAAGGGTTAAACGCAATGGTTTGACATCCGTTCGAAGAGAGTCGTTGCTTGTATTTGCACTGGCATCACCAACAGCACCCTCATCTTCATCATCGGACCAATCCTGAAGGGTTGTAGAAAAAAATGGGAAATTTCCATATCAAAAATTATTATTAATTAAGAAAGAAAAATTGAGTCAAAGAAAAAAACGACTCACGCTCAAGTCCGATTCGCCATCCTTTGATTGATATTGTTTTGTATCATCCTGTTTAATCAATGATCGAACTAAATCGCGCATAGCTGATGATCGTCGCCGATCCAAATCCTCATCATTACCCGAATCATCCATTTTGATGGCGTTTTTATTTTCCGATAATGCGGCCACCGGATTTCGTGACACATCCAATAAAAATTGCAGCAAACTCCATTGGATGTCATATTCATAGTGATTTGTACACAGTGGATCGTTTACAAACTCTTGCACCAAATGTTTCAATCGTTCGCCGTATTGTGTATAATTATCGGCCATAAATCGTTCGGCGACGCCATCAATTCGACGTCGCACCTCATGACTATTTACCGACAGAAATCGATGGCTGGCTACACGAGAAAATGCATATGTTTCACATAATTTGAAATTTTCATCGTTTTCCTGGAAAAATAACACGAACATTTTGAATTTATTTCGGGTCATCGAAAAAATACACCGAGAATCATGAAAATCGATTGATTTCTTCGGGAAAATTGAGAGAAAGTAAAACATATTTCTTTGAAAAGTACACATACATTGAATCCTGTCAACGATTTCACCAATTTTGGTATATTTTCGTCGATTATCATCTGTCGGATGGTGTGACTCGACGTCATTTTGCACTTATTCTAAAATAAAAACTCCGGAAAACGAGATTTCCAGTCCGAATTGGGACGATTTTTTACAGTTTTCAATGCGAGAAAACAACAACAACCGTCCGAACGATTTGTTTGCACTGAATATTCAGCTGTCAAAATAAGTGCAAAACGAACCAACAATGAAATGTCACAACGATCAACAACATTAGACAAAAGTGTAGAGGGGAAAGACGCACCCTCAACCGAAGACCGATATGAAGTCAAAAGATGAAGAAATAAAACAGAGAAACCGAAAAATCGAAAAAAGTGGACGAAGAATGAAAAAAAGTGAAACAAAAAAACATGTTGAAACGTAAATGTTTATCAATAGGGTTCCGATACACATAGCGCCCAATCAATGTAAAGCTTTTTATTTCAGCATTTCCTTATTATCATTTTCGTTGCTTTTGTTTACTGTCAAGTGGTTGTGTTTGTTGTTGTTGTCGCAATTCGGCATCTCATGAATTGTTTTTTTTTTCTATTGGGCCAAATAACACAAATCTCGTCGCACCGACAGCGCACACAAAATGTGTTTTTCTTTAAGTGTGCGATTCACACATCCGAAATGAGAGCAAAGGAAATGTTATTGTAGTGCACAAGAGAAATTGGAGAGTGTGTGCATAACGGTAATAGCATCGAATTCGCATTGTGAATCGCATCGAATTCCGGTGTTTTAGTTGAAACATTGTCTGCTTGCGGATAGAGGGTTTTATACACACAACGTGATTTTTTCGGAACATTTTTTTTAGATAGATTAATTTGAATCAACGTTTGAGAGCAATAAATCGACCAAGTTTTATGTAAATTGATTTTTTTATTTTTTTTTTTTTGTAAATTGAGCAGTGCATTTATCAGAAGGTGCATTGTATGAGGTAAGAATAAAACTGGCTGTATAGAGCAAAAGGTGTACATATTGAACAAAATGAGTGTAACTATAAAAGAGGTGCCAATCAGTGATTTGGGCACGGCGATCTTATATACGACAAATGAAATTAATGAGACGCAAAGCATACCGGTGGAAACTACAAATGAAATGCAAGTGGTATCAACATCAATAACAACAACAACAGCTACGAATACGGTGCATACAACAAAAACTGTGTATACGATGAACTCAACAAAAACGAGCACATTGGTCACAACTACAGTGCCGATGGTACCTGCGCCAGTTTTTGTCATCAAAAAAGGTTCCATTCATACAACGACCACACAATCACTTGTAAGTACAATTCAGTCGAAAATTGGATCACTTTTAAAGAGAAACACCATATCAATGCCGCCATCATTGATACACCAATCGATGGAACAAAAGCAGCGAAAAATCCCAAAATTGTTACCATTAAAAAATAGTGAAAGGTTGTTGAAATCATTTGAAAATGATAAAAGCCCAACCGGCGACCCATTGGAGTCGGTAACGCCATCTGGCGTCATTTCAACGTCCGTCACTCATGCTAATCGTTCATTAGTTTATCGAGAGCCAGTGACAACAAAAGACACCGCTTCAATTACAAATGACCATGAACACAAACTCATCGGTCATATATTCGATAATTCAACAATTCAAGCTGCACAAACAAGCAATTTAACGAGCAACGATAAAACGGTGTCCATTAAAAGTCAAAAAACGGTTGAATCATTGTTGAAAATAAGTGCTCAGTCACAAGTGCTTAACGAATCGACGGTAAAAGTGGCGAAAAACCTTCAACTTTCAAAATCAATTTTAAGAAAGAACCGCATCTATTTTAGCGACGAACATTCAGAAAAGGACTCGTCAATCGCATCCTTTGCAAATCCTCACACATTGGTAAGCACAATAAATGTCAATCGAAATATATGTTTCTTTTCTCTCTTTTATTACATGCACACTCACACACATGTATACATATGCACATGCATACGATAGTATATGCATGTGCTTCAAGTTAACAATAAAAAAACTTTTGTTTTTAGCATGACTTGTGGTATTAAAATGTTGTATTCTGTATTTAGACTATCGACAATAATTTGTTGGAGGTGATAAATTTAGACGAAATGGAAACGTCATCGATTCCAAAAGCGCCTGCACAAAAGCGAAGCCGTGCAAAAAGTGCATACATGACGGATGCAATGCTCGACGATCTTGGCATAACGTCACAACGGGGTCGTGCCAAAAGTGATGATAACAAAGAGTATGACATTTACAATGTGGATATGTTGCCCGAAACATGCGATCGGCCATCGGAGCCAAAAGTTTATCGCAGTCAACAACAACGTGACCATGATGCGCTCTACAATTTGATCTTGTCGGAAAAACAACGTAAACAAAATGTTGAACAAAAATCGAATATAAAAGCGATTAATATTGGCGACGGTAGTAAAAGTATCCAAATTTCGAATGGTCAACTGTCGGATATAACGGGGCCAATTCGTTTGCTTGATAAATCAACCAAACAAATCGGCACATTGCCTCGTGTTATACAAATTTCACGAACCATTCAAAGTCAAAATGCGGCAATTGCCTCGTTGCCAAAGGTGGAGAAAAAACGCAAACTCTTGGAATCGATTGAAGCAAGCGAAAGATTGATGAATTTAGTGGAAAATGATAAATCGAATAATATGGAAGGATATCGACGTACATATAGTCGATCGAAATCGGTTAGCACCAAATCGAAGTTACATTTTAAGGTCGGTGCCGGTCTGGGTAAGTTGCTTCACTTAAAAATTGCCTTTCTATTGTTTAATCATTGTTATTGATTCTTTTTCGATTATTTTAAATTAATTCTATTCTTTTCTTTTGTGATTCTCCCCTAGGTAAATTGAAGAAAGGAAAATTTCCAACAATGAAACATAATCAAGATTGGCAATCATTGAGTACATTTGTTGTAACAACAAATACATCAAAATCACCAGATGCACAGTCAAGCGGTACGGCCACACCGCATGGTGTAAGCAGTGACAATTCACGGGCCACATCACCAACCGAAATTGAACATTGTTTATCGTGGAACACGTCAAAATCATTGGCTCGCCTGTTTAGCACTGAGGTTATTTTGCAACGCAATGAATTTGGTACGATGGAAATAGATCCGTTGTCGATGAGCAAAATAAAAGCGATGAGAGAAGATAAGAAAGAATTTCCACGATTTGATCCATCGATGGCTTGCGGACATCCCGAATTTGCTGGATGTTTTAATGCAATTATTCAACGATTGAATGGAACCACACCCAATCCGAATTGCCGTATTAACGACAAAAATCCACATCAATACTATTCAACCGAATTTAAGGAAATCATTGGCGCTCTGGTTCAGAAGAAAAATAACAATTGTCAAGCAATTACGTTACAAGATATTAAACAAGCATTACAAGAAACAAACATGCATGATCGCACCAAAAATTCAAGCCTCTTTAGTTGGTCACGTTTTATTGATTACTATAATACAAAATGTAAGGAAAATGAACGCATCAAATTGGCACCGGCTGAATTATTCGTGAATAAAATACCAACGACACAAAATACATTTGAAATTGGACAGAAATTGGAAGCGATCGATCCACAGAATAATAGTTTGTTTTGTGTTTGTACCATCATTCAAAAGTGTGGCTATCGCATTAAATTGAGATTTGATGGATATCCACCGATTTATGATTTTTGGGTGAATGCCGATTCGGGAAACATTTTTCCAGCCGGATGGTGCAACAAAACTGGTTAGTATCCACAATCGTTTCATTTTACACCATGCCGGTAGCAATTTCTTTTACTAAATTAGTTTGAAACTTGATAAATTGACTATTGGTTTTTATAGGTCAAAATAATTGAAAATAATAACAAAATTTCAGACTTTGTGCTCAAAATTCATAAGCAATTTTATTCATTATTTTTGAAAAGGTCGCGAACTTGAAGTGAAGAGCCGATTTATGAACAAAAGAAATCAGAATTTTGAGTGGAAAGAATATTTAAGGCATACAAATACACAAGCCGCACATCATGCTTGTTTCCCCAACTTAAATACAGCGGTAAGAAATTTTACTATTTTTAAAAATACGTTTTTATTTCATCCAAGGGTAAATGTTTTTATTCTCTAATAATTTTTGAAATTTGAATAATTTTTGGAATATGTCAAAAAATAAAAATAAATAATAGTATATTATTTATCAAGAGGTTCTTCCCGGGTGAAGTTTCCATAAAAATTTTTTTTGACAAGATCAACGTCATTTTTTCCAAAATTCTCCCAAAGAATAAAAATATTTTTGGTAAATTTTTAAATTTTAGATTTTTTAATAATCAAAGAAAAAAAAAAAAAAAAATTAAATTAAAAAAATCTAGCAAAAAATATTGTATTAAAAATAATATTTCTCGCATGATTTTGGAATTTATAATTTTTTAATTTTTTTTATTGTATTTTCTTAACTTAAAAAAAAAAATAATAAAGCTAAAGAAAAAAAAAATTAAAAAAAAGAAAATGTATTAATGATTCAATTTCCATCAAAAATATAGCGCACACAAATGAATCCATTCAAAATTGGAATGAAACTTGAAGCTGAGGATACAAAAAATACGAATCGACTTTGTGTGGCCACAATTGGTGATGTGATTGATAGCCGTGTGTTGGTAACATTGGATGGATTTGATAGTTGTTTTAACTATTGGACTGATATCAGATCGCCGTACATTCATCCAATCAATTTCCACCAGGAAGGTGGATGGTCAATTACAAGTCCACCAAGTAAGTATATGCCAGAATAAATAACACCGTCAATTTTTAATGTTCAATGAACCCTTTTGGTGTATTAAACCAATGTTGTTTTAAAATGTTGTATTTTGGTCTATATGGGCCGGGCCATTGAAAAGAGTGATTTTTGTCTGTCCTTTACCAGTGACAATTTTATTTAGATAACCAGATTATTTGGAGTACCAATCATACTTTGTGTGTTTAGCGTGCTAAAATAGTCAAAAGACTGGAAATTTGGAACCAAAACAATTTGAAGAAAATCTATTTTTTTGCAAAAGTACTAAAATACAAAACATTCATATAAAAAAAAACAGATTGGCGAATGTCACCATTTTCATGGGAGACATACTTGCGGATGAATCGTGCCGAGTCGGTGCCAAAATTTGCGTTCCATACACGTAAGCCAAAACCATTTTCAGTCGGTATGGCATTAGAAGTGGTCGACAAAAAGAATCCGTCATTAATACGTCCTGCGATAATAACAAACATCGACGAATATCATATAAAGGTGCTGTTTATTGGATGGCCGGAAAAATATGCATATTGGATTGAAGATGACAGCACTGACATTTATCCTCCGAACTTTTGTCAAAAAACTGGCCACCCCATCGAATGCCCGCTCGGTAAGATATACGACAAACAAATTTTTTTTTGAACAAAAATTGCAGAAATAACAATGATTTTCTCTGATTATTTCCAGACGATTATATTTACGAGATAGCGAAAAATTCTTGCGGAACTAAGGGCTGTCGTGGTATTGGCAATGGAAAACAACTGGATACAAATACCCATTCAACATTGGACGAATGTCCATATGAAACGATTAATTGGTCTTCAGAAGAGAATCGTCCGAATCGTATTGATCGCAAGCACAAATCGATTAACAATGCGTTCAACATTGGTGCCGGTCCATCTCACAAGGTTTCCGTAAATCCAGCATTCGAACAGGTTCAAGTATCGTTGCAAAAAACACTCAATCCCGCCGAATTGGCCGCAATGTCCAGCAAAGATGTTGAGATATTCCGTCGCTTGCAAGTGTCGTCGCAATTTTTGCTCGAGAATCGTAAAACCTTATCGGATATGCGTGATCAATGGATTGAACGTGTCAAACCATTACAAATGGTTCAAGTATTGGCTGCTAAAAAGAATCCCCTCAACTGGAGCATCGACGAAGTTGTAACGTTTGTATCAAATTTGCCAAATTGCTCATCGCTTGGCCCAAAGTTCATTGAAAATGAAATCGATGGTTTAGCATTCCTATCATTGCGACAAAGCGACATGATCGATATTATGGGCTTGACCGTTGGATCAGCCATCAAAATATTCAATCGCATCGTTTTACTTCGCGAAGAATGCAACACCCATTATATTCGCTATTCTTAAACAACTTTCAATCACTTTTATTTACTACATCATTTTTTTTAGACATTAAGTATTAATCGGCCAAATGTTTTACTTATTGTGTAAGCAAAAAAAAATTTCTTTGGCATTCACTTTTTATTATTTGAATAAAAAAAATCACAATATATGAAAATATTTTCTAATATGAATCAATAAAATTATATAATATTAAAATTGAAAATTCAGAACTTAACGCTTTTGTTTGATTTAAAATGTAGTAGCAATTGTCAAATGTTGACATATCACCAGCATGGTGCGAAAATGTTAGGTTAGAATACTGTTGTATCTGTCAAAACAACAACGAGCATTCGCTTTATTTACCGCATTTCAAGGCAAGGGTTTTTTAAGAATTGCAGTCGATTTTTCAAGGCGGAAAAATGAATCAAGATGCATTGAACAATTTTCAGACAGCCGTTCATGAATTATTCATTCGATGGGACGCATTAAAATTGGCTGTGGAACATATGGGAGGTCGTAATGGACAACAGGTGAGATTGAAGTTAAAGAACTTTTGCCTTGTGTTGGAAAATTGACAAAATTGGGAAAAAATTATTGATCTCGTTTTTTTCCACAGACTGCCAGAGAAATCAGAGACTATATCTACAATTACTGCACACAAAATGATAACATTCATCCCAGCGAACTGGTCGAAGTACTGAACGATGTCATTGACGAGGAGTTTGACACAATTTGCGAGGATAATTCAGTTAATGGTGAGTTAAGAGGTTCTCTCTTTCATTATGGGTGTTTAATTGTAAAATTCTGGGCGTGGTGTTTGGATTGACCTGGTCCGAGTCTTATAACAGACATGGTTTGGGTGTCTGCATTAAGGCTTGTCCATTTGACACCCCAACATCATGTTAGCTATCAAATTACAAGTTGTGGTGAAAAAATCGGACTTTTTTTTCTCAGTAACACTACCCATTGGTCTACAAAAAAGGTATGGTGTCTGAAAAAAATAAAGGTCATCAAAAATAGTAATAGCTTCCATCAGCAGAAATTGACTTTTGACAGTAAACAATTCGGCCAAGCACAACCACCGGAATTTCATATGTTGGGGTAGGTCACTTTGAGCTCCCTTTAGAAACTGTAACTCATAACATGAGAGTTGAAGTAAAAAGACGAACAATATGAAAAACTAAAGAACATACTGAAATGTAGAGCAATTGCCACGGTGAAGATAAAAACGGAAATAAAAAAGATTTTCTCATAAAATCATTAAAATCACCAAACTTCATCAAATTCTCCCCTCTAATTTCAGATCTAAGCCTTCACCTGGTGAACTACTTGAAACTCTGTGTGGAAGGTAAATTCGACGAGGTGCATCACCATTTGGCCCAAATGCCAAAATGTATAAATTGGTTAGATCCGAGTTTCAAAATAACGGCGGCGCCGCGTGGTGACGACAGTGACTCCTCATATTCGGACAGTGATGACGAAGAAATGGATATGAGTGATGACGATGACGCACCAAATTTAGTCGATGCGGATCGCCGCAGAAATAAACCACAAACCGATGAAGACGGTTGGACGACCATCCCATCAAGACGTCGATAGTTATTTCCAATTGATTCTGTACCTATTTAAGCTCAATAAAAATCATTTGTAAATAAAGAGAAAGAAAAAAAACTCCATTGTGTTGTATCTAGTTTGCTGTCAAAGCTAATATAATTTGAAAACTTATTATGAAATTTATTAGATTTTTGTTTGTGTGTATGTGTGTGTTTACATCAAACTACTGATTCATGTGTTAAAATTCGATTTTTGTTGATACTTGATTTTTTTTTAAGTCCTAAATAGACTGAACGACCCATGAAGATTTGGATAATTTTAGTTTGTTGTATTTAGATACAGTTGAAATACTTTAAAAAGTCAATTTTCTTAAATAAATCTAATCAGTAGTCGTCTGCTTAATATAGTGTGATACTGTTGGTTTTTTCTTCGTTTATTTTCTAAAAAGAATTTTGTGGTTTTGCTGGATTCAATTGAATGTATGGGTGCGTGTGATGAACGATGCGGTCACGATTTCTGATTTTTATAGAAAATAAACGCACATCCTACTTCTTCTCATCCTCAGCTTCTTCTGTGGAAATTTTGGAGAAAAATACGGTTAGGGTAAGGACAAAGTTCCAAAAAATTATTTACAAAATGACTGAAGTTACCTTCGATTTCTTCGTCATCGTCGTATTGCTCTTCTTCGCCATATTCTTCACCACTAAAAAAACAGAGAAAATAATTCGATAAGTAAAGCCGTATATAAAATTGTAAAACATATGTCTGAATGAAAAAGAAAACAAATAGTAAAAATCAGACAATATATATCTAACTGGTCCGCTGAGCTGACAATACGTTATCCAGCTAGATGGGCTAAACAATTGAAGTGGTTCATCATTATAACAATAACGTCTATTGTTTTAGCCCATTTAGTTGACTAACGTACTGTCAGCTCAACTAACCAGTTCAATATATTGTCTGGTAAAAACAGATGGCGTTTCGTCATGGGCCATGAACTTGCCAGATAGACAAATATGACTGATACATTTTACAAATGAAAAAGTATTTTTAGCAAACAATCTCATTGCATATGAATCCATAATCAATAAATTAATGACTTGACAACGAATGGAGCAAGTTTGACAAAATATAATATGAATGTAATTTGATTTTGCTTTCGAACCTTGTGCCTTTTGTGACTTACTGATACAGAATACTTGGGTAGTGTCTTTGGTTCTCCTTTAAAAACATCAAACCAAAAACACGTCTCGACTGCCTCTTACCAGTAAGCTACTAAAGACACCAGTGATAAAGTGCGATTTTGGCAACTCTCACTGCTATTCCCAACCCTTAAAATATGTACCGCTCTCATTGGGAGACATTTAAATTTTAAAAAAATGATTTTTTCTTTCCACCCAGTATTGGTCCCACACTGTGTTAAAGGTATTTTAAATCGCCTAAAATCATACTCTAGTCAAATTTTAATGGTCATGCGGACCGGCTCACCTATTTTCTTCCGGTTCAACTTCAATATCTGGTACAAGATAGTACTGCAGTGGATTTGGCCAAAGATCATCTTTCAGCAATTCGGCTATTTCATCATTAACTGGATCGCTGTATTTGAAAGAAATTTTAAAAATGTGGTTTTAAATTGTGCGAAAATCAACCGCTTACCTGTTATCACTGAACCAATCGAAGAACGTTTTAAATTCGAATGGTCGTTTTCGTCGATTACTTTGCTGTTGTTGGTGTTTGTTTGATTTTCGCAAATCTTTGCCTTCTTTCCATTCAACTAAAAAATCAAAAACAGAAAACTATCAATGGTGGACCTGACGCATACAAGCAATTTCATTCAGACGAATGCTTGAGATAACTGTTCCATTCATCAATGATGGTGTATTTTGAATGGACAAAATACACCACATGGCGATTGAAAATAAATGTCTGATACAGCGTAATCAAAGCGTAATCAAGTATGATTATCACTGATAAAGAGCATTGACTCCAAGTATTCATTGACATAGGTCATCTACTGCCATAGCTTTAGACATAAGTCAACTTCAAATGAGTGAACAGCGGGTAATCATAGTGGGCACTTACTTGTGGTGCTTTTTGACACTGGGCCAGAGGCGCCGCTCAAGCAAAATTCCTTTGTCAGCAGCTTATTTTCGAAGAATGGATTTTCATCGAAATGGAAATTGATGCGATAACCCGATTTGATGTCTTCAAATTCTTCCACCTCCACCTTGCCCAAGAAGTGCAAGCATTCCTCTTCCTCTTCTTCCAACAAACCCGAGATTTGCGAGTGATTTATGAACTATTAAGAGAAAAAATCATCAGTTTCGGATTCCCAAACAATTTTAATTGGGAATTTCCTTGTCAACTAAAGAGAAAATGGCTCAAAAGTGTAATAAAATCAGCGAATATGTCGCGTCAAGTATTTTTTGGTGAACTCTTTGTATGATGACCGATGTTTCTGCCAAAGGCAATCATCTGAATTGCTTGAAACTGTATGGGCGCGATGAATCATCGCAAAAATGATAGCAAAATCCAATGAGACATAAAAATAGATAATTGTTGACTTACGGCTGTGACCCAAAAGTTTGGAATGTTTTTAATGATGTCGTTGCGCTTCTCAAATAGCGGCTTTCGTAATTTATTGTACTTCTGTTCAACCTTCAGTATTTCTTCCGACGCCTTTTCATTCAACGAATCGATTTCATTTTGGCACGTATCAATTTGTTCCAAGAACTCGGATTCACCGTCGGCCAAGCCTTCATCTGTGAAACAAAAATTTTGAGTAAAACAACATCCCCATCCATTCCAGCATATTTTTCACGGTGTCAATCAATGCTTACCCTTTGGTTTTTTAGTTGTAGTTGATGCCATTTCCAAAAGTTAATTGATGAGATTCACTGCGTTGAAATTCTAAAAAGAGATAAAAAATAGGCACCGTTTTAGTCACTGCTTCTTCTTCTTCAAATACGACCAAACAAAAAAAAAATCGCGAAAAAATTGGAAAAAATCATATTTCGACACTTGATTCGGTGTAATCGTCGAAAATATTTAAATTCATTGTTTGCAAATCGCCATTTTTTATTAATACGTTTCATCGCATTATTTACGCGTTCTTTTTTTTTTTTGTTCAGTGACCATTTCTTTTTATTTTCAATGCAAACACGAAGCAACAACAACAATTAACCAATGATGTACTAAGAATCAAGCACACAGACCAATTGACAAACGACAATGCACAACCGAATGAATTTAAAACCGATGAAATGCCCATATAAATGCAATAAATTACCAAAATTTACAATTTAATGAGAAAAATTACGATGTAAATGCTAATTTTGACATGAAAATAATAAAATTTGAAACAAAATGCTACTTACATGAATTTTCAATGACTGTACACAATGTGTCGAACAACGAATATGAGAAAATACCAACCGGCGCTGTATGTGTTTCAACAGAGATGACAACCGTTCTGCTTCTTCTTATTCGTTGTCAATTTCGCTCGGTTCGGCCGCTTTGTTTCTCTCACACTTCTTTTAGTAGTTTTCTTCTTATTGTGTCGCTTCTTTATGTGAAGCACACCGAATGTGTGTATAATAAAATGCCAACTTTTTGCCGCTATTTTTTTATATCTCTTCTTCTCTTCTTCGGCTGTCGTTGGTATCGTATTCGTTGTTTCACTTGTTCAACTGTCAAATCGGTTATTGTGTGTGTGTCTTGACATGCTTGTGTATGTGGGAATGCGAAGAAATACCGCCGAAATGGATGAGTTCGGTGGAGACGGTCGTATTTTTACACTAATCTCTTCCACCATTTCATTTGATTTATCGAATTTTTTAAGGAGAATTTTTTTTATATATTTTTTTGAAATCACACAATGTTTAAACATGTAAATTTTTCCGAAAAAAAATTTCTTTTCCATTTTTTTCCAGAATTTGTGTCACGACAGTGGTTGCCGCTCAATTCGCCGCAATCTCCATTGAATGCACGCATTTCGTATTTCGCTTTGCCGTATGTTGAATAATGGTTCGGAGAACCCCAAACGACATTTATCATCAAGAGAAAGAAAGACAGAGAACAACCTACAAAACGGCAGTACTGGCATTGTTTCCCACAGATATCGAGTTGTTTGTGCTTTTAGGGTGTTTTTTTTAATAAATTAAATAAATTCCAAATAAATCGAGTGAATTTAGTTCAAAACAGAAAAATAACAATCGGGAAAAAAAATGTCGGCAGAAAGCCAAGCTACCACGGGAAATACCAATCTCAAGAAACAGGACTTATCACAATTGGTAAATATGCTATTCTATACATACATTTCGGTCGGCAAAAAAAAATGCATGGTCCCCAATAACAATGGATTTAATATATTTCAAGTCGTGCTCGACGGCATTTTTTCACAAATCATGCCAAAAATATCGCGAAATATGAACATTTTTTATGGAAAATAGTAATAGAACTTAACCACGTAGACATGCATTAATGTAGTGCTTGCATGACGAAATTCCATTGAAAATAGTAGTACAACGAAACATAACCTCAATATCTATATTTTCATTCATTGCCGCATAACACACCAACAAAGCAACATGAGAAATTGACCGTGATTTTGTGTATCGAACTGTTTCGGGGAATTCATTTGGAAGAAATTCAAAAATTAAACGGTTTTCAGTAGTTGAAGGCGTGCCATTTCAGTATACCATAAACATGTTTGAACTTTGCGACAATGATCACAGGGAAATGATGAAAAATGACGAAAAATAGATGAAATTCACACGATAACGGGTTTTATCAGCTGGATATTGATGTAATTGAATGAAATTCTTTAAAACATTCACAAAACTCTTTGACAAAGCCGGTTTATTGCATGAGAGAACTTGATGGAACTCACAAATAATGCCGAACACCACTTGCAAATTGTCGTATTCCATTTGAAAGTATCAAGTTCAATTTACCATATTTATTACACTTTTTTGTTTAAGAGACCATTTATTCCATAACATTTTTCAAATTCCTCATTGCTTAGCATTTCTAGTGCTATAGCACTATTCCTATAGTATAGATCAACTTCAAAGTCCAATCCAAATATTCTAATAATATTTTTTTCAAAAAATAAATTTCAAGAAAAAAAATTCCACGAAAAAATATATCCTGAAAAAAAAAAAAATTTTGTTCAATCAAAAAATACCCAGAAATTAAAAAAAAAAACGGTTATTCTGTCCAATATTCAGCCTTTATTTTCCTATACACTACTGAATTGTATGGTCTCTCAAACATCTAAAAAATGTTCAGTTCTTTGGGTCAAATCGTAGCAAACTGGTATTAGTGATTTCATGAAAAAATTGATTTCTTATCAATAAGGAATTCTTAATTTACAAGAGAGAAGAATAGGTCTCTTCAACGAACCAAGAGGTCATGGATTTTATTTCCATGAAGTCTATTTTTTTAACATTTGCAGCAAAAACTTTTTATAAAAGAAATATGGTCAGATTTCAATAAAAAATCATGCTTACCATGGATTGTGGGTCATGTTCAAAATTGCCGCCAAGGCCTTATACGATGTATTTACTTTGGCCGAGTCTAATCGATTTTTTTTTCTACCCAAAAAATGAATGAATTTTAGGATATCTCCAAATTGACACCATTGTCACCTGAAGTGATATCGCGTCAAGCAACGATTAACATTGGTACAATTGGTCATGTAGCCCACGGTAAATCGACTGTGGTGAAAGCAATTTCTGGTGTGCACACCGTTCGTTTCAAGAACGAATTGGAACGTAATATCACAATCAAATTGGGTAAGTCTTATATTTACTACTTTGCTTTATTTAAAAATATCCATAGTACAACTAACAAACTGCCTTTCACACGAGGAACACAAACAATTTTATCTTTGGTAAACAATAAACAAAATTTTTGATTGCAACTGTAGTTTCTGTTGTAAACATTCATTACTAAAAACGTAAAATTAGTTTAAACATATGAATTAGAGTGTGTTTAGAAAGAAAAAAACAATATCAATGACATTGTTCGAGTCCCTCCGGCTGAAATTTCGAAGGTGGTTGTGTGTGTGATTTTATTGTCGATGATGGTTACCGACAAATATGAGTCACGCCAAATTTACAATTTGATTTTTAAGCCAATTTAACGCACAAAAGAATAGATACCCAAGAAAATATACAAATCGAACAAACAACTGGATAACTTTTTATTATTGAATTACATTTTCTGCTGACGCCAAACAAAAAACTGATTACCGTACAAGAGAATGGTATTTTCCAAACAAAAACCGGCGAGATTTTTTTTTCTTTTTCTTTCTTTCACTTGCACAACCATTTTACCGAAACAACCAAGTAGTTTATTAGTTGTTCATTCAAAGTGTTTAAAATGCTGAATGAAACTTCCTTTTTTTATTATTTATCTCGTTCATAAATATTCTTTTTATCATTTGTAATATTCAAAATTTATCCAGTTGTTTTTCTCTCTTTTTTTTCTTTTTGTGTATTTTCGCCATGGTATTTTATCACAAACACGTACTGTGTATCTATAACTGAATGTCTCTCTGTGTGTGTTCGCCATGCCCAAATCATGAAAACTGTAGAACGAATAACATCGGAAAAAATTCAGGAATTATGTGCTTCATCGGATAAATTGCGACAATATGCAAACGAACAAGCAGCTAAATATCCAGTGCCAGAATTTGCAAAACGTAAACATAGTACAAAAGGGATCAAACGTAAAGCAACCACTAAACTCGAAAGTGGACCGATAAAAGTGGCAAAATTGTGCAATTTATTGGAAATGAAAGAGAAGGATGCGTTGAATAAAAGTCTATTAACACCAAATACAACATCGTTGATTGGCACCACGAGAACATCGATGGCAAGTTTAAATGGTGACGACGCATCAAGCACGACCACATCACAAGTTGCATTCAGTTCAACCAGTAACGGTGAAATATCGTTGATTGAAATGAATTTACGACGATTGTGTGCGCTGTGCAAATTAACGCATCCTGAATTGAAAGCGGTCATACCAAAATCGGGTAAACCCAAAGTCGACGAAAAAGGTGTGTACGAAGAAGAGTACAAAGTAAGTAAAGTGATTAAGCTGGAGTACGATAAGCGGCCATTGTATCAGGTGAAATGGGAAGGTTATGATGAATTAACCTGGGAACCGGTCAAAAATATCTGGGATTGTTCAGCATTTCAGCGTTACATCGATGAATTTATTCGATCACGACGATCTGATATGGAAGAACTATGGGATGAAGTAATCACACTTATTACAAATGATAAACTTGAACCACAACTCACCGATGCCGAAGCATTACACCAAACGGTTCAATTTAGTTACAACGAATTTTTGTCACATTTTTTCATGTTGGTACGTTTGAGACGGATAAATGATCGAAAATCTAGTATGTATCGGAAAATATACGATTATGTATTGAATGATATGAAACATTTACCATATTATATAAAACGATTGGATCAATTGCAAAATATCTATGAATTTCAGCAGCGCATCAATGTTGTTGATCAATCGAAAAATTTGCATGTTGAAAATGTGATTGATTTTGATTTGCCGCCAATGAAAGATTTTACGTATACAAATGATGTAATACCACGTGACGGTATCATTATACCGGACGATCCGCCGGTCGGTTGTAATTGTACTGATGACGAGGGCGGACAATGTTCAATCAAATCGGATTGTTGTCCAAAACAATTTGACGCACAATTTTCATATAATTCACGAGGTTTGGTGCGGGTTAAACAAGGTACACCAATTTTTGAATGTAATAAAGCATGTAAATGCTCGGAAAATTGCCAGAATCGTGTGGTACAAAAGGGTCGCAAGCAAACATTGTGCATTTTTAAAACGAAAGAACGTGGATGGGGCGTTCGAACCGAACGGGCCATTGCAAAGGGACAATTTATTTGCGAATATGTTGGCGAAATTATCTCGTACGAAGAGACCGAACGACGTGGTAAGGAATATGATGCCGTTGGACGTACATATTTATTCGATTTGGATTTTAATGAAAAAGATAATCCATATACGGTTGATGCTGCGAAATACGGCAATGTATCACGGTTTATCAATCATTCGTGCGATCCGAATTTGGGCGTGTGGGCCGTTTGGACAAATTGTTTGGATTTAAATTTACCAAAACTCTGCTTGTTTGCATTGAGATCGATTAAAGAGAATGAAGAGCTTACCTTTGATTATATAAATAGTACAAACAGTGGACCACGCAGTGGTGCCGATATCATTGGTGATGCCAATGATTCGTTGAATGAAAACGATATCAAATTCGATAAGAATGAATCGTTGAAGGAAAACGAAAAATTACGTGAAATATCCAATACACCGCTTTTCCAAGCCGAATCGAATGAGACACACGATGAATTGATTATTAAAGCCGAATCGAATGAAACAGCTGAATTCAACGATAAGGATCTCATCAAACAAAACGATTTCCAAGATTTTCCGGACACAGACACAATCAAAGCAACACAGAGTATGACAGATGATACAACGAAACTAGAGAAAAAAGATGGATTCAGCTGCCATTGTGGTGCAGCCAACTGCCGAAAAATCATCTTTTGCTAGTTTAAAATCAACCAAAAAAATAAACGACATACAAATTATGATCCATTTCTATTTAGTGCAAATTATGTTACTTTCTCTGTATTATTTTAGTTAAGTTTAAAAACAAATCTTTTTTTTATTATTTCCCTTTTTTATGGGACATTTCATTATTATTTTTCTTTATTGATCTTCAGAAGAATATTCAAATTGTGTTTTTTTTCTTCATAATTCTTCTTTTTCACTCTTAATCAATCTGAATTTCATGAATTGTAGTAATCGTTAAGTTGGCATGTGAATTGATGTTATGAATATAATAAAAATCCCACATTTGAGCATTAAATACCAATGATTCGCCTGCATTCAATTTGAGCATTTGATCCGAACAGATTTCTTTACAATCACGACGAACGGTGAGTCGACCACTTAGTGTTCCACTCATTTGTAGAACGATCACCAAGTCCTTTACGGGTAAATGCTTTTCGGTAGATATGTTGTAGTGTTTTGAGAGTAAAATCCAACTGGTGTGAAATGGTGGTAAATGTGATGATATGAAATATGGACGGTGTTTTAATGGGAAAATTAAACGACTCGATTTTACAGCATCAAAATCACAATTACGAAAATGTAAAAACCAGCCTTTTGAATCGATTTTTGACATTTGACGCAAGAGATGTTGTAGCTTTGGCGAGTTTCCAGAACGAACTTGTAAGAGATTGGTTCCAATGTTACACGGAATTGAGTTTCTAAGATCTGGTAGATCGAATAAAAATTCGATAAAATTCTCGGATACATCAGGCTGATTCGGCCACACGGCGTGAGAATCATCTATAATCACCGGATTATCGCGAGACAAATAGACACTTTGTAAAGTGGCATACGTGGTGCTGGAAATTCTATCGATGCCACCTGAAATGAGAAGAAAAAATTATTATTTTTCATCAAATGTTCAAAGACACTTTTTTTTATTGCAGAAAATCAAATCGATTTTGGATTTATGATTGCTTTAAATTTGCTATCAACTTTTTTTATATATTACCTATTTTTGTTTCCATATTTTTCAAATCTTTTTTCACGAATTTTCTTCAAAAAAATTTTTTCAAAAAAATGTAAAATTTAAAAAAATATTTTTCATTCTTATTTAAATGATTTTCCAAATTTTATTATATTTTCAACCTAAAAATGTCAATTCTCCCAAGAAACTTCAAGAATTTTAAAAGACAGCTTGAAATGTTTTGTATCGATTTAATTTTTTTCAAGAAATCTGGAAGCAAAATTTGTCTGAACGAAACACATTTTTTCCACAACATTTTTTTGAAAGAGAGAATATTTTTTCAATTTTAGTTTTCATTTTCAAAGAGAATTTAAAACAAAAAATTTCTCTCATTTACCTTTACGACAATGTATCGCTTTGTATATTAACACAGTTTTTTACTCTAAAAAAATAAATTCCAAAATAAATCACCGAAGTAAGTTACTCAAAATACACATCAACTAATTCTTTGGTAAAATTATTTTTACAAATGTTGAAAAAAAATTTAAAAAAATTTCCTATTTATTAATAATAAACTATTTTCGGGAATTTTTCCTTTATTTCTATAAAGGTGGGAAACCTTTTCAATTTATGAGCATATCTTTTTTTCTATTTCCTCGGTGGAATTTCCCCATCGTTTCTTCGATAGTAAAAAATCTTATATTTTTTTTGTTGCAATAAATCGTTGTATTTTACACCAAACAAAAATAAAGTTTCCATATCGACCTTTTATCTCGCTACTTACTCAATTTTTCACAAATGGCGCATTTATCCTTATTAAATTCATAGTATCCTTTGGCCTCGTCTTTGTATGTAAATTTGTCTTCTTTAGCTTGTTCGATTAAACACCTCGATCGATACAAATGCTGCCAATCATAATACGGTAATACAAGTTTAATGAGTGCCAACCGTCCAATGGCCGATGCATTCCAATTTAAAAACGGAATGTAATAAATTGATGCACATAAAATTGCGATAACAATCGAAATGCAAAGTAACCACTTTAAATAGCGTCGAAGCAATGAATATCGAAGATAATTTCTCAAATATATCGTGACTTCATCACTTCCATCGGAATTAGTCAAAATTGATTCCAACTCGCAGTCGAGCTCAGCAGTTAATTTCTTCAAATCAGACATTGTTGAACGTTTTCCACTGGCAATCGAACACAAACTGACTATCAATTTTAAACTGTTGCTCGGTAAATTGAAACTAATACCATGTCGATCAAAGGAAGGACGCTTGCGCACGTCGTAATGAGATTATTATCTGATTTTGCCAACGGTTGACACTCCGCTCAAGCGGAAGTAATTTGATGAACTTTCAATTTTCCATTTAATTTGGCTATCAGTTGCGTACAGATGCCACTTTTATGGGAAATGTTTTTTTTTAAATAAGAAGAGAGAGAAGAATGAATGAAGATGTGAGTAGAATTGTGTTCATCATGAAAGGCAGCTTTGGATCTTACTAACATAGAATATATTTTTTATATAATTTTTCTTTGAACAAAATTTCAAGAATTTTTTTTAAAAATATTTTTCGTTCTTTTTCCCCTCCCGTAACCCAGGTTATGCCAATGCAAAAATTTTCAAATGTGACAATCCAAAATGTCCACGTCCTGTGTGCTATACATCAGGTGGTTCAAGCAAAGATGACAGTTTTCCATGCTATCGTCCATCATGTTCAGGTCGCTTCCAATTGGTGCGTCACGTTAGTTTTGTCGATTGCCCCGGTCACGACATTCTTATGGCAACAATGTTGAACGGTGCTGCTGTTATGGATGCCGCCTTTTTACTCATTGCCGGCAATGAATCATGCCCACAACCACAAACATCGGAGCATTTGGCCGCCATTGAAATCATGAAATTGAAGCATATTTTGATTTTACAAAATAAAATCGATTTGGTAAAAGAGTCACAAGCGAAAGAACAATACGATCAAATTGTGAAATTTGTTCAAGGTACGGTTGCTGAAGGTGCACCAATTATACCAATTTCGGCTCAATTGAAATACAACATTGAGGTAATTTACACTGAGGGAAGTGCCAGTTAATTGCCGCTAATATTGTTGCTGTAAACAGTATCATTGTTGAATCTATCATTGTTATACTGGTTTGATTCAACATTGATACCCTTTACAACAATAATATTAGCTGCAATTATACTGGCCTCAGTGCACCACAAATTCCATCTTTAAGTACAAAAACTAATCGATTTATTTCTCTCCTCCTCTCAGGTTCTTTGCGAATACATTGAAAAGAAAATTCCAATTCCATCGCGAAACTTCATCGAACCGCCACGTTTGATCGTAATTCGTTCATTCGATGTCAATAAGCCCGGTTGTGAGGTGAACGATTTGAAAGGCGGTGTTGCTGGTGGTTCAATTTTGCGTGGTGTTCTTAAAGTTGGCCAAGAAATTGAAGTGCGTCCGGGTTTGGTTAGCAAAGATTCCGAAGGAAAATTGACATGCCGTCCAATTTTCTCGAAAATTGTATCGCTTTTCACCGAACAGAATGAATTGAAATTCGCCGTACCAGGTGGTTTGATTGGTGTTGGTACAAAAATCGAGCCAACATTATGCCGTGCCGATCGTTTGGTTGGTCAAGTCTTGGGCGCTGTTGGTGCATTACCCGAAATTTTCATCGAATTGGAAGTATCGTATTATTTATTGAAACGTTTGCTTGGCGTTCGTATGGAAGGCGATAAGAAAGCGGCCAAAGTACAGAAATTGACAAAGAACGAAATCTTATTGGTTAACATTGGTTCGCTCAGTACTGGCGGTCGAGTTGTGGCAACCAAAGCCGATTTGGCCAAAATTCAACTTACCAATCCGGTTTGCACCGAAATCGGCGAAAAAATTGCACTCAGTCGACGTGTCGAGAAACATTGGCGGTGAGAAATTATTTCGTTTTATACAAGATTAATTTAAAAACAGGAAAAAACGTCGAAATCAAGAGGAAAATTTGATTTTTTGTTTTTCAATTTTTCTACCTTTTTTCAAGCATGTTTAACCAAGTGACCAACTAATTTTATTTCGTAATTTATTCCATATTTTCAATAGGTTGATTGGTTGGGGTCAAATTCGAGGTGGAACTACAATACAACCATCATGCAGCGGACCAGCCAAGTCATCATAGGATCCATCAAACAAATTGCGCATCATCCAGATCGAAATGACAAACAACTATGAACACAATATGGAAATTCCTAAAATGATTTGTTTTTTTTTTTATTATCTATCAAAATCGAAATAAATCAAAAAAATTACAAAACCATAAAAAAAAACAATTTTTTCTATGTGTGTGTTTTTCTTTATTTATCTTCTTCTTTATGAATACAATTAAATTCTACCCATATTGAGTTTTATTTGCTCTAGCGGAATTTTTTTTTTATTTAAATTTTGTGTATAATTTTGGTTCCACACATCTTACACTCGAAAGCGTTAATTTGGAGATGATGTTTAAGCAACTGATTCAATGAGGTTCTTGTATTTCTTGATTTTTGAGGCGACGCTCATATCAACGTATTTGTCGCCGATGGAGACAACCAAACCACCGATGATGTTTGGATCAACCTTTTCCTTCAATTGGATGGTTTCATTTGATTTCACAAATTTCTGCGGAATAAAAACAGAATGGGATTAGAGATGAATCGCCATCAGATAAAATAAATAAAATAGCTGGATGTAGCTTTAATTTTAAGTCTTGAAATGAGAAAAAAAGTCAATCAACCCATCAGCGAATGTTTTTTCAGAGCAATATATGTGAGGAAGAACACTCTCAATTTTATTTATTTTTTTACGTTTAATATTTTTCACCGCTATGTACACTCTTCCTCTCATTTATTGCTTTGAGAAACAGTCTCTGCTTTTTGGTAAATGAAAAAAAACTATTAAACGTTAAATTGAATTACTTTTACTTGAAAATACCAAATCAAAAACCGAATCCAAACTAACGGACCGATTGTTTTAAATTCCGTGAAAATATCAAAAATTCCATAAACGAATGAAAATGCACCAAAAGCACAATTTTAATGAATGTCACTCATTTTTTTTTTTTTAAATAAAATGTTTTTTGTCTCAAAATTCCCCCAAAATAAATCCGCTGGATTTCTAAATTCTACTCACTCTCAAAGCGCTTTGCAATTCTTTGCGTTGACCATCGCTCAATGCACGGGCGGTTGTAACTTCGCATACAACTTCACCGCGATGTGCTGACATCAATTGTTTGAATGCATTGATAACACCGTCGATTTTGGTGAAACGTCCATTTTCCGCAAGCAATACCATTAAATTAGTGGTGGCAGAAGACAATTTAGCGCTGCTACCAACGTCTTTGAGTGTTGTTTGCAAAAGAGTCCGATTAAAGATTGGACTGGTGATAATGGCACGCAACAATGGCTTATCTTTGATAGCATTTTGTATTTGCACCAATTCCTTTTCAACCGAATCCAATTGTTTCAATTTGGTGGCGGCCGTGTACAAAGCGGTAGCATAGCGACCTTCCAATCCGAACAATTGAATTGGTGGCTTGACAGCAGCAGCGCTGCTCGACATTGAGCGCACCTGTTTAATACACAAATTAAAAAAAGGGCGTTAAATGGTACGTTTTTTCCAACATATTTTTAATTTTTATGGATTTTTCCTTGTAAAAAATTGTATATTTTGCTTTTTTTAAGTAAATTTGATTTGGTGTGTGACTTCTCCTGACTTTGACATTTGATTACATAATTTTGTTACACAAAACTTTGGTGAAAATCACAAAAATCTCTAGATAAACTCAATATCACACTTGACCCATTGATTTAATCGCAAAAATCGTGGTCATTTTGTACTTTTTTAAATACTTACAATTATTCCCATGCGTGATGCCATCTTTTTTATGCAATTTTTTTTTTCGTGTGGATTGAATGGATAGTACTTTTCGTGTCTCTGTACGTCGACCGAAACAGCAAGTAGAAAATGAAAAGAATTAAGGTTATCTGTCAAATATTGTCTAACGATCCGAACGCCATCTGACACATCGTGTCAATGTCATTCGGTCTAATGTCAATTTCTGTTCAGATTGACACAACCAGCCACCAAATATACAACGTTTGCATACGAATATTTACCGTGGTTAAGTTTATTTCTATTTTTTATCGAATTCTGTATTGTGGTTGAGATTGAAATTATGGCAGATAACAAGCGAACAGTTTATGTTGGTGGATTGAGTGACGACGTAAGCGAACAATTGGTCTCTGATGCTTTCATCCCATTCGGTGATATTGTTGAAATTCAGATGCCGGTGGATTACGAATCACAGAAACACCGTGGTTTTGCATTTGTTGAATTTGAAACAGCGGAAGATGCTGCCGCCGCTATTGATAATATGGTAAATCATCTTTGAGTTTCTTTAAAACGACCGAAATCTTATTTTTTTGCACCTCATTTCAGAATGACGCCGAGTTGATGGGTCGAACGATTCGATGTAACATAGCTAAGCCACAACGAGTAAAAGAAGGTAGCACACGACCAGTTTGGGCCAGTGACGAGTGGTTGCAAAAGTATTCCGGTGCAACGCTCACTGTTGACAAAGAAACGGAACAAAAGACCAGCGAAAAACCCACCGAAAATGGTTCGAACGAAAAAGAAGCGCCACAAGCTGAAAAAATTGCCACAACTACCGAACCGAATGAAGGTGAAAGTAATGAGCCGAAACGTAATCCACAGGTTTACTTCGACATTCGCATCGGATCTCATGATGCTGGCCGTATTGTCATGCTACTTCGTGCTGATATCGTACCGAAAACCGCCGAGAATTTCCGTCAATTATGCACTCACGAACAGGGTTTCGGATACAAAGGCAGCTCTTTTCATCGGGTCATACCAGATTTTGTAAGTTATTTTGAATTTTATGGGATTCCAAACACTTGCAATAGCCTATTTCAATTTACTTGTCCATTTTCAGATGTGCCAAGGTGGTGACTTCACAAACAACAATGGAACCGGTGGCAAATCTATTTATGGTAAAAAATTTGCCGACGAAAATTTCATATTGAAGCATGGGAATTTTGGTTCGCTTTCCATGGCCAATTCGGGACAAAACACAAACGGATCACAGTTTTTCATTACAACGACCAAGTAAGAACCATTTTATTCGTCAGTCTAGAGATAATTCAATTTCGAATACACTCCAACCTCTTATCGATTCGAAAACTTAAACAATGCTACCATTTCTCTGATCTCTTTCCAGAACGGATTGGCTCGATGGCAAACATGTTGTGTTTGGCCATGTCATCTCCGGCGCCGATGTTGTACGAAAAATCGAAAAAGTTGGCAGCAAAAGTGGATCACCAGCACAAAAAGTGACAATTTCATCATGTGGCGAATTAAAATAATATTGAAAATCATATTCATCAACACAAAATATCTTGTACAAAAGAAAAAAAAAACCTCTTTATTTCCCTACCCATTAAACGCATTTAAGTAACAACATTAATTGGAATGGTTTTTGTTTTGTATTCATTCGAGTTCAATGACATTTGTACGAGTGATATTTCGTTGGACAAATTTTTTTGTTGTTCGGTTGTTTCGGGCTGATCAACTTTGTACAGCAAGACTGACTGCAGCTTGATCCAGCAGCCAAACTAGTTTCCTTGGTTTCACCATGCCAGCTGGTAATGGTTCGCCATCGAAGAGAATTCGCTATTTGGAGACGGTAAAAACAAAACGTCAATCATTTTTTGGAACATAAAGTCATCAATTTCTGAGCCAAATCATGAAACAGTAAAATTCTCACCTTAACCATCTCAGCTTTTCCCTTGCCACTGATTGGAAACATACACATTTTGGCATTGTTAATCAATGGATAGGTCATTGTGACGCGTTGTGGTGGTGGTTTTGGTGAATCAGAAATCGGTGCTATCAATTGGGTTTTCTCTGTCAGCAATTTATGTTCGGGAAACAGTGAACAAGTATGACCATCTGGACCCATGCCAAGCAACAATAAATCAAATTGTGGTATTGTTGGCTGTTCGGAGAAAAAATAATCATTTTTATGACACATTAGCTTTGAAAATTTTCACACTTACCTTCTCAGTGGACTTTTTAATACCAAAATTCTTGAAAATACGTTGTTCATAGTCACTGGCACAATCATCCAAGCCGATTGATCGATTGATAACCACGAATTGTGATTCGGTGAGTGGTGTTTTCGGGATGAGTAACTTTTTGTACTGGCCAAATGTTGAATCATCGTCAGATTCATCCACAAATCGTTCATCACAGAAGTACAATTGCCATTTTGACCAATCTGTCTTTGCATTTTCGGCACCATTTGCCAAGTATTTTATCAACGAACCACCAGATAATCCAACACGAAATACCGAATTTTCTGCGATCGCTTCATTTGCTGATTTTTCAATCAATTCCCACATTCGTCCAATCACATGACTCTCATTTTCAACAGTGATTATCTCCATTTTATCAAAAAATTGCGGATTGGATGAAAAATTGTGAAAAAGAAAAAATTTGCAAATGGAAAAAAACTCGATCGAAACCGGTGGCACACAGTAGATTAAAGCGATTAGCAATTTTAATGGCAAGTTCATTGATAATTTGACATTCAACACAGCGGTGGCATCTAACGTTTTTGATCGAAAGCTTCGATCAATTGTCAGTGGTGCTCAATGATAGTGAGTTTGAATAATTCTTTCTTTAGCGCTTTTTGGATTTTTTGATGGTTTATTTTTCCGACCATTTGATGCACTTACCAAAATGAACAACAAAATCATGAATCTATCAATTTATTTTCAAATTTTCCTGCAAATGAGAAGATGCCTTTTCTGAAAAATATATCATCTACTGTCGTTCAGTAAATAAAACTCATTCCATTCCTTAAAATAAACAATTGGATACCATTTATTTGATTTATTTTTTTCTTTAAATATATTGTAAGTCAGAATATGTTTCCAATAGAAGAGAGAGAAAAATCCTGTACTGAGTGTGTGTGTCCATGAAAAAATACTGTTTCTATTGGTGTTTAAAGATGAAAATAAATCGGAATCAAATCAAATTCTTAAAATAAACTGTGAATTTATAATTTTTTGCGAGTTACGGCTCGCAAGTTTTTCTCAATTTCAAATTGTCGCAGATCGGTGCGCTGTAGAAAATCTTGTCGCTCCAAATAGCCATCACGTCCTTTATTATGTGTTTGCAATTCTTCGTCTATGCCTTCTGTTTGTTTGAAGCCATTCCAGTCTAATTTCGACTTTTCTAACACACTAAGTTTATTCTTTTTTCCAATTTGTCCCAAGAGTGATGAGAGTCCGCTGCTGCCACCAGCACCACCGCCGCCACTACCCCGAGATCGGCCAAATGGTAATGACGGTCCTGGTTTCGCGGCTACTTTCTTTGAATCAGCCGTTGTGTCAGCGACTGGTTTTTCATCTGTAACCTTCACTTTTTTTTTTATTTCAACTTTTTCGCCGGCAAATTCAAAAATTTCCGTCACCACCTTTTTTTGTTCGGTCCGAACTGGTGGTTTTGGTATTTTTTTTATTGCCTGTGTGGAATTGCCGTTCGAAGTGGATGTCACCTGTTTACTTGGCTCAGTCGATTTTTTATTTTCACTTTTGACGACCGATTTTTGTCCGGTATTGCCCAAAAAACTCGCCCATAGCGCGTCTTCATTCTCATCGTCATCGTCATCATCAAGCTCATCTTTTTCCGTACTTTTTATCTCTTCTTCGATGCGTTTATTTCTTTTTGTAGCCACCGAAGATTCTTCTACATTCGCCGAACGTTTTTTCCCTTTTGGTTGATTTTCAACATCGTTTTCTGGTTCACCGTCTGAGTCCACCTCACTTACATCCGAACCATCAACACCTGGTTTGTAGTCGTCGTCACTTTCATCAGTGTCACTTGCGTATTCAGCTTCGTCCAACATGGTAATTTAATTGGAACTTTTGAACGGGCTACAAGGGATGAAAAATCGATTAACATTAAATTGATTTGATAGGAAGACTTGAGAAGCAATTAATTTATAAAATTATCACTATGGATGTTGTTAAACACAAAAAGCACGAATTTCACTCACCTACTGCAGAATTTTTACGAATAATACTTATTTTCAACACTGGAACGCTACACAATGACTTTGATTGTTTGAGAAAAATAGTCAGTTTGCTTTTTATTTCGTATACAATGTCAATGAATGGCTTGAAATGTAGAGAGAGAGAGATACTAACGCGGCATATAAGCATCAATTCGCACACTTTTTCAACACACATTGTATCCTATTTGCACGAAATGTCAAAACAAACCAAACTAGTACGACATTTTTTGCGTGCATGGGAACGAACCCGCATAATTTGAATTTATCTTATCACGGAATTTGAGTCAACTAACCATATTCGCCTGGGGTTTTTAAGAATTAATGACGAAAGTGTTGAGCATTTAAAAAAATTGTTGCCCCTATTGGATATTGTACCTACAACTCAAACGTTATCAATATTCCACTTAAGATTTAAAGTATTTCAAATTCATTTTTGAGAAAAAACTAGAGAAGTTTGTCTTTGTCTTGCAATTTACATATTTCACGATACTGATGTAAGAACTAATAAGTACAAAAATATTGTTTCTATTATAATCTAAGTATGTTTTTGAATGAAGAGAAATCAATTTACAAAAAATTCTTATGCGCGTATTTTTCTCTTTCAAAATATAACCTGAAGTACTGTACACTTTTGTGATGAATTTGATATAAATGGTGATTGTTGTCCGATTTCATATAATAACATCGGTTCAGAAATAAACTACTGGAAATATATTTCATTGAATATAAGAAATGAGGAATATGTTAATTTATTGGAAAATTTATCGTGTAATTTTCATTTTTACCGACACTTATTCAAACAGAATGTGTCATCAGATGAAACTAAAAGTTTGAAACGAGTGGAAACGATGAACGTAGAAAAAATAGGAGAAAACGATGGAAAACGTCAGATTGAAGTGTCGAAATCACATGTGTCAGATTGTTATTGTCTCTGTTGATTGTTTCTTCTTATAAATAACAAAATATTGGTTTTGAGATCTTATAAAAGGTTAATACAATTTGTGCTCATTCTTTCTTTTTAAGCATCAATTAAAAATTTAAATTCTTATAAAAACAAATTCATGTCGATGTTTTCGTATAAATTATTGTAAATTTTATGATATCTTCTATATCATGGATTATCGAAGCATTCGAATAGATGTATAAATATTTTTTACTTTAGTCAACAAATAACAAAAAAAAAAAAAAATATCAACAGAAAAAGAGTTGTTGGAAATGTCTAGCGAAAGAGTTTGTTTGGAGCACAACTATTTCAGGTATTTGAATTTTTTAATTAACAACCGTTCACAATTTCTGTTGGCTTGTTATCTATCAACTGAAACGTTCAACTGCGTTCAAAATACTAATTATCATTTTATTGCTCTAATGCAGTTTCGATGCGAGTCATCTACAAAATAATAGTTTACTGGACACAGTGGATGTGGGGAAAAGTAAAAAGCCAAAATTGTCACACTCAGATAATCAAGATTGCAATGGTGATGCCATTGCGGGTCCATCAAATGACGAATCAACGCCAAAAATATTTAAATTGAACATCGATTGTTTGGAAGAAATATTTGAATATTTGAACGTGAAAGACCTGCATTCATTCGGTAAAACATGCAGGCGAATGAACAAAGTGGCCGGCGAATATTACAAACAAAATTATTCATCGGCTGATATAAGATGTGAAAAAGATGGAATTTACATGTACGAAGGTTACGTAAAAGAGCGTATATCTGGTTTCAATAAGTTCATTCCATGTATTTCATATTATGGTGATGATCCAAATGACGATCTCGGTCCAGTTAAATATATTAAATCTCATATAAATGAATTTGAATCAACTAACCACATTCATCTCGAGGAACTAAGCATAAATAAAACAAGAATTGGGTATTTTAAAAAATTGTTGCCCCAACTGGAAATTGTACGGCATCGAGAATGTTCGGTGGATGGTGATTTTTACGATTTGTTACTGAAATACTGTAAAAATTTGAAAGAGATTCATGTTCAAAACTGGGATGTCGGTAATCGAAGAAAAGTTAAACTCAACTGGCTATTACAAAAATATCCCAAGCTTGAACGTTTTGAGTTGAGACCTTCTAAGCCCTGTCGAATTGAAGAGCTACGTGAGTTTTTCGTACGCAATCCAAATGTACAGAGATTTTCAACTACTGCAAGATTTTTGTGGAAAAATGATGACATATTTTTAAATTCCAATGCAAAATTGGATATATTGGAACTTGAAGGATTTAACAATTATTGTCCTTCGTTCAAAGGGAAGCAGACGTCGGAGAATATTTTGGAATTATTAAATCAACTACATAAAAGAGACTTCTATAAACGATTATACATTTACGTCAATAGAGTTAACAAAGAGATGAGCACTTTATTCACCTCACTAGAAGGTCTCGAGCTATTATGCATTGAAGAGAGCTTTCAAAAGAGCTATAATTTAGCTCAATTGACCAATCTGAAAGAATTAATTATGTTTGGATCGAAAATTCCTAAGTATATGGAGATTTTAGCAAATGGCCTAACAAAACTCGAACGTCTTTACATTCATTCGGCTAGCATTGGTGACATTATGCCATTCATTCGTCGATCACCGAAATTGAACAAAATCAAATTCATACCTCCATATTACTCGACGGGTGTAGTTTTGAATTTGGCAATGTTGAATAAGGAACGTGCCAAGTTGACCGGAGCACGAAAAATAATAATTTATACACGTGATGATGTTTTCTTGGCTACCAAATGGACGACCAGAAACGGTAACACCAATTTAAGTTTCATCGAAATGAGACGAGTGGATTCGATTAAATGGAATCATTATTTTCAAACACAATTTTTTGGATAGGAATATATTATTCAAATCATCAATCAGATCAATGAATTTAAAATCTTTTCAGATTTAGTTTTGAGAAAAAGCTATAGACCTTTATATAATACTTCACGACACTTTTTAAATTTAAGAAGTAAAAAAGTACAAAAAATTGATTCCAATATAGTCTAAGTAAACTTTTGAATACAAAGAAGTCCAATCAAACAAGTCTTTTTCTTTCGAAAAATGTAATCGAAAGTACAGCACACCTTTGTGTTTGATAATTCAACTTGAATTTGACACAAATGTTAATGGATAGGCCGCATGGTAACCGCATCGATTTTAAATACAACTGGCTGTTACAAGAATATCCTAAGCTCGAACGTTTAGAATTGATGCCTCGTGATTCTTATCAATTTGAAGAGCTACGTGAATAGTTCGAACGCAATCCAAATGTACAGATATTTTCAACTACTGCAAGATTTTTGTGGAAGAATTGTGACACATTTATAAATTCCAAGGCAAAATTGGATATATTGGAACTCAGAGAATTTGACGATTGGTCTTCAGAAAGGAAGAAGACGTCGGAAAATATTGTAGAATTATTAAATCGACTTCATGAACAACGCTTTTATAAGCGAATATTCTTTTTATATTTATGAAGTTGAACTTCATTTGCCTCGCTCAAAGGTCTCGAACTATTGTGCATTCGATGTTTTAACGAGAGTTATACAATAATCTAGCTCAATTGACCAATTTGAGAGAATTGATCATTCTGAATGCATTGAAAGTCAAGAATATGGAGATTTTAGCAATTGGCCTGACAAAACTCGAACGTCTTTATATTGATTGGGCTAGCATCGATGACATTATGCCATGAGACGATTGAATTCGATAAAATGGAATCATTAAGTATTATTAAATACAGTTTTTCAGAATAGGAAATCATTATTCAAATCATCAATCAGATCAATATTCCACTTGAATTAGAAATCTTTTCAGATTCATTCTTGAGAAAAAGCTAAAGAAGTTTGTCTTTTTCTTGCAATTTATATATTTAACGATACTGATGTAAGTAGTATGTAAATGCCGGTTTCATCCACGTTTTTCAGTATTAGTGCACACACATACACATATATACTCACACACACACATGGTGTTAATTTATTTAATTGATGTAGTGAGTGTATTGATTGACAATATGAAAAACATTGACTGACATGATAATTTTTTGAAATGATTTTTTCATGATAATCAAAACTAAATCAATCCGATCGAATACTTAGATCAAAAAACAACACATCAAACTGAATTTTGAAATCGTTCAAGTTTGAATGCAAAAGTTTGTGAATGATAATAAGATGCGAGTGAAAAACAAATATACAGTGCATTTTCTCTCTTTCACACACACATACACATACATTCATTCATTCATTCATTTAATTATTTTTTTATCACATTGCTATCAATACAGCTCATGTAAATCGATTTATCTATTTTTTTTATATTCAGTATGCAATTTGTATCACAATTCTTTTTTCTGTTCTTTTGATGTGTATCAAATGTGTGTATGTGTGTAAGTGATAAACACTTATGGCACATTTGAGGCTCAATTTCATAAAATAGTTCGATTTGAGGTTCTATTTCATGATAATAAATCGACTGAAGGTTCGATTTCATGAAAAAAGTTCGATTCTTGTGTTTGAATATGATCAATGCGAAGAGCAAAAAAATTAGAGTGAAAAACTTTTAAATATAAAATATAATTTTAAAAAATTCAGTTTACTAGCTGCATTCATTCAAACAACCACAAAAAAGCAGATCTGCTTCTCGAGAACAACAAAAAAAATTTCACAATGGCGCATCCTCATCCGCTAAATGATGGTTCACATACATACATTAGGTTGAGAGATTTGGAAATCGGCAAAAAATACCCAGTTTGCGGTTTTGGCGTGTTTAGAGGCAATGTTGCTAAAATTGAACGAGTGTGCCCAACAGTTAAAATCGGTGACGAGTATTTGATTCTGTGTGAGCGTTATCTGGAAATTGTTGATAATCTCAAATTAGAGACAACGCCTCTTTATGTTGTTTATTTCGGCCCGGGAAAAAGAAGCCGTCCTGAATTTCACTTTTACGATTATTTATGGAATTTAATTGTCTAAAAAATATTGTATAAATATAAAAAGTGTTGAAAACAACAAACAATCAAGTTTCAACTGTATTATATTAATGAAATGAAATTATGAATAATAAAAAATTCTTCTTTCGGTTGTACCGTTGAAAAAAAAAACAGTTGTTTCATTTTATTTTTTCTTTTTCCATACATTTCAGAATATTTAATAATAATTAATATAATATATAAATCATATAGGTTCGATTTGAAACCATTTTACCTTTGAATTATACAGAATATATCATAATTTTACTAGAATGTTACATTTTTATGAAAAATCAATGAAAAACTGTCTCATTCTTGTATCTTATTTACTATTTTTGCTTAAAGTTTTATGAAAATTTACGTTTCATCTAACAATATTTTTTCTCAATTTCACTAATTTCATGATGACCCCAAGCCAGCGTATCAATACCATTCGAACGAATGAGGTAACGCTTATCATCAAACGGATTTAAAGCAATTTTTTTCTGTTTAATTGTGAATATTCGATGTAATTTTGAGCGAAAGTTATACTGTTCACGTAAAATATTACAATTTTTCTCAATACTCTATTACCATGTAAACTTCTCTATTACCATGTAAACAATGCTGAAAAACAATCTAAACAAAAATTTGTGGTTTCACACTGTGTGTCCGTTTGAAATATAAATTCAATTTCACGAATCCAGCGAAGTGGAAAACGTCGAAGGAATTGAGTGCGATGCATATGATCGCTTAATTTTGCTTCTTCTCATTTTCACATCTGTATGGAATGTTTGTTTTATTTAATAATAATAATAATAATCTTTATTCACCGCCAAAACTGGCTGAATCATTTGAGTTTTTACAATTTTTTATACATTTGTTGGTGGGAAAAAGGTATGAATCAGTGATATACTATTGTAAACATCTGATCACCGTTAAAAACCACATCTTTTCAATAATAATCTTACGACCACATACGATATTCTAACGGTCACCCACACGGTCCACCAGCCCGGGTCAGTAGATCGAATGAACACTCAGCCACCATCCCA